ATTTAAAATCGATTACTCTCAGAGCTCTTGTCTAATTTGTGCTCTTCTTTTGAACTTTGGTTCACCTTTGCTGGCAGGAAAACCAAACAACTTTTGTGGGTGGGGTCGCCGTTGTTCCCTTTTTTTATTTTAGGTGATTCTTGGTGATTCTTTGTGCATTTCAAGTTCTGGGTGTGGCAGCTCCAAAATGCGTTAATGGTGTGTATTTGGGTGAAGTTTGGCAACAATGCGATGAGGGAACTTAAAGGTTCTTGACTGGGTTCCATTTAAGGCAACCATTTGATTTAATATATCATTTACATATCGCTCCTTATTGAACTTCAACATATTTTGGTAATCTGATTATGAATTATAAAACATCAGTTGAGTTATAAATATAAAAAGTGTACTGTTTGAAATACATACAAGTTTTTAGAGTTTTTTCTCCTAGTTTCGATGTTTTAAAGGGTTGCACTGTAGTTGTATGGGTTTCGATTTTATACCGCCATCAATAATAAGTTGACAGTAAAATCAACCTACAAAAATATAGTCATCTTTTTTTATGTAAATTAATTACAGTGCTTATTGGCATCTCTGGCAAGTGCCACCGTAAACTTCTTGCACATGTTTGTATTGTTTTTCCATGTCAAAAGCTCCGAATGTCCCTCTTTTCCCCGTTTGCCATGTGGCTTTTATATGCAGCTGTTTCTTTAAAAAACCGCAGGACAAGAAATTATATATACGCAATGCGATTGATGACCTTCCAAACAGATCTCAAAAGGGGAGCTCAAAAAAAGAAAAGGGGAATTCCCCCTGGCACGTACCAAACCGAAATACTGGCGATCCTTTGTTTTTCTTCTTTTAATGCTCTTCCTGGCAGGTGTTTGACTTGCAGCCTGTTTCGTAAATTGCAGGGAAAAATATGCCACTTCCTTTATTGCGGTTAATGTCACATGGTTATTTTTCAAGTTTTCATTATTTGTCTTCTGTTAATAAAAGGCATTTGTAAGTGGGTCAAATAATTTCATATCTTATCAGTACTTTTTTGTTTATTCATGGACATAGAATAAACATTTGATTTGATGGCCACACATGCCAGCAGGTTGCGCTTTTATAGAATGTAGTCAACATAAAAATTCTTATCAGTAGAAAATAATAAAAGTGAATCAAAGCCGTGCGCTTCTTTTCCTTGGAAATATACATATTTACATTTTATATATTCCAATGAATTTACGTAAACATATAAACTGATAATAGGTGACCTCAATGCAGTTGAAAAACAAGAAGTAAGACTTTGATCTTAAGCCTGACGGTACAGATTATTTCAAAAATAACTTTTTTCAGAACTTTACAAAGAAAGAATTTCATTAGAACTTTGTTAACATTAAAATCTTTAGTCTAATGATCTTTATACTTATTTCAACACGGAAATAAAATTGAAGATTAATGTTTAACAATTTAGAATTTTAAAATTCACTTTGAACACAGAAAATAAATAACAGAAATGACTTGAAAATTCATTGGGTGAGCATTGCTACAACGATAATTAACGAGAAATCAAAGCGTAAACTAATTTGACCTTCGAGCAGCAACAGCAATTACAACACGTGACCATTGAGCCAGGGAAACCTAAAAATATAATAGATACTAAAACATATACAAAATAGGAAAATGTTTATTGGTGAAACGCGAAGTCGGGAAATTACTAAACAACGATTAAATAACACAGCAAATTAAAGATATTTCTTTATTTCTGTAAGCTTACAGAGTTGGCAATGTTAGGTAACCGAATAGTTAACTAATTTTTTAGTGCTGCCACAATTTACTGACCCTGACACACATTGCCATTATAATAAAAACTAGCCACCCATCTCTCCCCCGCTCGAAATATTCATTTTCAGAACTGTTGTACATAGCTCACATTTAGTGGGTAATTTGTTTTTATTATTTTAGTTTGGGATATCAGCAAACACAAAATCTGAGGGGGCGATCTGAAAACAAGGCAGACAGCGTGGCAGGCAGGCAGAGTCGTAAAATAAAAAAGGAAAGGCGAACAGAAAACAGCACGCAAATAATATTGCAAAAAGAGAGAGAAAAGAATAATAATAGCGGTTCGCGTGGGCGTTGTCTGCCATTACACGGAAAGAAAAGCTTTAAATATAGTTATAAATCAAAACTCAAAACCTCAAGATATATTTATGATCCATTAGTTTATAGCACCCTTCTAACTATTTTTCTTAAACAAATTGTTTTTTTAAAAGAATTTTTCAATGAAGATATAATAACCGAGAAGAGTGAAAAGTGCATGTGCTTTTTAAGTTGATTAAAAGCGCGATGTGCCGATGGCTATATGGACCCCCTGAGCCCCCTTTATATTGTATGGGCCCCATAATTGTGTCAACTTTTCTCAGTTTACGTTTGTGTATACTATGTTAGCGAAATGTGTGTCACGCCTCCACAGGCATGCAAAAAAGTATAAAAAAAGTTTATGATATAAATAGCGCGGCGGTGTCTAATTAGTTAAGCAATTTTTGTCCCGACATATAAAAATAGTAATCAATGGAGGAAAATATATACAGTTTACAGCTTTCAATTTCAAATGTATTAAAAGTGATGAAGGTATACCAAGTAAGACAATAATAATAAGAATTAAAAATATATATAAACCGAGACGTTTAACCAAAAAACTGACAAAGTTTGCTTTACTGTCGTCTCTAAATGTATCTGGAATTCTGTCTGGACGTACTCAAAAGGTTTTCATTAGACATATGAATTTCGAATTTAGATTTTGTGTATTTGTACATACACATATTGCGGCTAGACAGCAGCCAAGGAACAAAATGGATGAAATAGGCCATAGAATGGGAATCCTAATGGAAATGACTTTGACTTTCTAATTTTCAGTTGCAAAAGAGCAATTTACGGGTATAGCCAACAACCGACCACACATATTTTTGGCGGCAGACTGTGAGTTCAATGCCTGTTTAATGGGCTTGTTTTCTTTAGCCTTCAGTCCCAGGGTCTATACTATATATTCAGCAGTGATGTCGTACATTATTGGGATGAGGAAATAACAGAATGTTATTGTTTTGTGTAGCCCATAAGGATTTACAATAAGTTGAATCTAATAAAGATTTAATTTGTTCATCAATTTTTTAAACAATATTTCTATGGTTTTCTTGTATTTCTTTTATTGCAAGAGATGTATTAATAATAAACTTCGAAGGGGAAGTCGGTAAAGATTCATAAGAACTGCATCAATGCACTGACTTCATATGCTCTAATTTATTTCTTTTGGCTGACTCGATCCCATCACTTTCTCCTCTCTCCAGAGCGACTACATTCCAGACATTTTCTCACCAGCTTTTCATTGCCACACGCACATCTCTCTTAAACTGCAAGTGCCTGATGGCGCTTAAATACTGAAAATAAAATTCATCGCCCGTTATTGATTAACAATAAATTGTCGACGTGGTTGTCTCTGTGGCTATCGTTGTTATAGCTCATGTTGTTGTTTGTCGGCTTGACCGGCGAAATGGGCGACCTGTGGGGCGATATACATGCATATATGTATATCTTTTTGGAAAGGGCGGTGGCCAGAGGGGTGGAAAATCGGGGAGGAGACAGATGCCACATGGAGCTTTTGTCTGGCCGTCTGTTGGGGCTGTCATGGTTGCAGATACATGTGTATATATAGATACGGATACACACGCACTCGGGATATAGATAGATACATATTTCGAAGTGGGGAGGTTGGTCGGATGCGCACACGTGCATGCATAAACAACAACCATGCGATGCCACATAGCGGCACTTGCTTATATAATGTACTGCAATTTTGTTTGCAGTTGCCAGACCGAGCTAGAATGTACATATGTACCCAGCTATAGGTATAACTAACGTCCGAGTGTGAGTGCCGGCCAAAAACCCATTCAATTTAATGTGGCGCTTGTCTAGCCAAAAATGTTAACGCTAGACTGAGTATCTCCCTCCCTACATGGGTTTATTGAAGCTTTAACCTGGTGCTAATCCGCCTCAACGGTGATTTTCAATGCCCCTGGCGAGTAAGCTTTAATTAGAGAATACCCGAGTGACGGACATTTTCAGTCACTCTTTAATTCGAGCCGCAGGCCTTGGGGTTGTTATCGATTTTCCCTGGCTGGCTTTTCCCACCCCCTGACTCCCCTCGAGGAAAGCTGTCGTCAACGCTGTTTATGCTAATGAAGTCACATTGTCGTTGACTTGCGTCTACGCCCACCAAAAATAGAAGAAGCAAATAAATGAATGGCATCACATTAAACACAAAGTGAAAAAAGTATATTAAAAAAGCCCTGAAACGTGCCTCGCATGACTAATTAGCATAATAAACAAATATAACGAAAGCCACCCTGAACACAAAAAATGAAGCAAGACCAACAGGGAAAGAGGTGCTGCATATCAATGATGAAATTGTCTCAGTGACAGGGCTAAGAAATCCCAGTGTGGGAATAAATTGCACTTACCGATAAAGTTGGAAAACGTGCAAGATATGCCCAAAGGTTCGTTGACAATATTGCATAAACTGGGTTCGATATATATAAAAAAAAAAACTAAAACAACTTTACAAATTTTTATTTTGTATCTCTTCTTACTTACACTTCCATTGGATGAAGAAAATAATCTCTCTTATTTTAGGGTATAATATAGTTAGGGAACGTAGTAATCTTTGCTATTTACAAAAGCAAAACCAGTGAACACACTACCAAATATTTATCACTCCTTGAATTGGTTGAATATATATCATAGCTATAGTTCCAATATTAATTAGAGTAACTATAGAAAGTAAGATTTATCTATGACATTTACCTCAGCTCAATTATCAAAAACCATCATTCTTTTAGGCATTGAACTGCATTTTCAATACTCGCCAACCATATAAAATCATAAAATGTTAGACCCCGCATTTTTGTTTAACCAATTTATTTTTGATTTAGTTGCTTATTTATGTTTTTACCATTCTCTTCTTTTCTTTCTTGTTACAGACTCAATCTAGAAAACACTTTCAAAACTGTACATAAATTAAAGGCGTGTGTGTTGTAAAACCATTAAAACAGCGAATTCCTTTGAATCACTTTCCAAAACTGGGCCGAGGCGCGTGCAATATGCGCAACGGTATTCGGGAAAGAGCGCGTGCCACGGAACGCACTGAATCGAAACGGAACGGTGGGAATCTATAATGCAACAGCAAGAGGAATTCGAATTCGAAGCAGAAACCGAAACCGAGATTCTAGGGAGAAAGGAAAACATTTGGAAAATGTTGTTTCCGCACACTGAAGAAAATGCATCGTTTTCTTAACATCCAGCAAAATATCAAACTACGCAACTATCATCAGTTACTTTTGTATTTTGTTGCTGCTGCTGAAGGAAGAGCGGAAGTGAGGAGAAGAGGAACCGGAACCGGAAAGAGAAGCGGTCGCAACGGAAGAAGCAGAAGCAGGAGAGGAAGCAGAGCAGCAGCAGCAGTTACAGTAACGTTTAAAGCAAACGCAACGTAACGCCACGAATCGCAACGTCAAACGTAGTTGAAGCATAATATTATTCTATTAGCCCAATACATTAACCCAACGCTGCCACTGTTCCTAAGACATCAACAACAACCAGAAGAAGAAACCATTTAAACTAAACGTAGACCATAGTCGTAACCGTAAACCGTAACGCAATCGCCTCTACACAAGATACAATACAGAAACACAAATCCTATGCCAATTTTTGATCATTAAATCGTCTAGCACCTATCATAGACTCACCCACATAGACGCCCCATCAAAAGTCAAAATCTCAAACGACACTACCAACTAAAACAACAAAAAGCAGACGTTGTTTTAGAACCCAACAAAAATCCCCAAAAAACACCGATCTCGACCCCCTTTTACCACGCACACCAAAAAAACAACACAACAAAATAGACAAAAATAAAAAAGGCTGGCTAAGGAAAGCGGAAAAATATGGCCACACCCCAAGTCAAGGACTTGGTGTTGCGCTCGCCCGCTGGCTCCTCCGACGTCATTTCCTTCGCCTGGCCCCTGCAGATCGGACACGGACAGGACAAGCACGATAATGGCATCGACATTATCGACACCATTAAGTTCGTCTGCGATGAACTGCCATCGATGTCATCGGCCTTCGAGGAGACCAATCTCCACCAAATTGACACTGCCTGCTATAAGACTATGACCGGTCTGGTCGATCGCTTCAACAAGGCCGTCGACAGCATCGTTGCATTGGTGAGTGCTTTCTTTTTTATATTGTCATAGTATTTGCAGCAAGAGAAAATTATTAGAAAAGAACAACTAAGAAAGCAAAATGAATTCAAATTTAAGTACTGATTATATTTCAGAAAAACTTGTATTTGATTAGGTTTTTATAACACCTCATATCTAGCATTTCCAAAACTTAATAGAGTATCCAGATGAACCTTTTTCGATTTTCAAAGGTCCTTATAAATGTTTCTTTCTTAGTACTTTTCTTTTGCAATGAATACTTACTAATGATGTATGACATTTTTAGCTAAGCCTGATGTTTTTTCTCCCTTCTCGCAGGAAAAAGGAACTTCACTGCCCGCCGAGCGCCTGAATAAGTTCGCTCACCCTAGCCTTCTAAGACATATTTTGCAATTAGTTTACAATGCTGCCGTTCTCGATCCGGATAAACTCAACCAGTATGAGCCCTTCTCGCCAGAGGTTTACGGCGAGACGAGCTACGAGTTGGTGCAGCAGATGCTTAAGCACGTCACCGTCAGCAAAGAGGACACCTTCATCGATCTCGGCTCGGGAGTGGGCCAAGTGGTCCTGCAGATGGCCGGATCCTTTCCCCTGAAAACCTGCATCGGAATCGAGAAGGCGGACACTCCGGCGCGCTATGCGGAACGCATGGACGTGTTCTTCCGCCAGTATATGGGATGGTTCGGCAAACGCTTTTGCGAGTACAAGCTGATAAAGGGGGACTTTCTGGTCGATGAGCATCGTGAGAAGATCACCTCCTCAACGTTAGTTTTTGTTAACAACTTTGCCTTTGGCCCGACGGTGGACCATCAGCTAAAGGAACGATTTGCAGACCTTCGAGACGGAGCTCGGGTCGTGTCCTCCAAGTCGTTTTGTCCATTGAACTTTCGGATCACGGACAGGTTGGTTGAAGTTTTAGAAACCTAGGACCAGAGTTATGACCTAGTGCAAGGCATATTTTCTAACACTTATTAATTTATTGCAGAAACCTTAGTGACATTGGCACCATTATGCACGTCAGCGAGATTCCGCCACTCAAGGGCTCCGTTTCCTGGACCTGCAAGCCCGTTTCGTATTATTTGCATGTGATCGATCGCACCATATTGGAGCGATACTTTCAGCGCCTGAAAACGAAAGGTGGCAACGATCACGAGAGCGTGGGTAAGTTCTGAAGGACAATGGGCGGCGCAGTTAAAGGATGCACCAATCGGAAATCAAGCCAAGACACACTACACAAAAAGAACAGTCATTTCCGTCATCATGAAATTTTCCCAACCAATCAATCACTGTCAAAATCAAGAATTTTTTTTCATTTGTTATGATTTCCTTAATCAATCACTTATGGAATGAAAATAAGTTTTTGTTTGTTTATAAATCACAAAATCAATTTAATCGTAATTTTTTTTAGATGTTTAGTAGTCTGTTTATAAGAAATACTTTTAGTAAGGTATTTTTATTCTTCAGCACTAAGAGCTTATATGATAGTTCAGTTAGTTCTATGACTTAAGAGGAAAATATAACTACATTTTTAAAATATAATCACTGTATAGCGGTAAAGAGGAAAGCCTTAAATTAATGTTATGTTAAATATTTATTTATCGATTTTATACTCCTGATAATGTCGTCCTTTTTGTTTAAATTTAGTTTGTTTTTTTAAATACAAATTGAATAATCAGAGGCATATTCGAGCTCAACTCGAAATGTATTGTTGTTTTTTTTCAACATACTTCATAAATGTTAGCCATGTCAGGATGAAATCGTTTTTAAAGGATTTCCTTAACCCTTTTAGGCTAATAGCTTAGACTATTTTTATTGACAGAAAAATACTGTTAAGACAGTCGTTAAATTGGCTACAGAATTTTAAGATAGGTCCACAAACGTATCCTTATTTAATAAATGTTGGATTTTATTTTATATTAAAGAACGGATCTTTTTTATCTTTCAGGAACTGTTCGCACCACACGAGATCGCGCTAAGAGAGAGGCGAATGTTGGCCAGCACCATCATAACAACCACCATAACAACAGCAACAATCACGCCAACAACAACAACAACCATCAGCGGGAGCGGGAACAATCGAACGGAGCTGCCGCTACCGCCGCCCATCAGCAGCGCCATCAATCGCAGTCGCCGGCCAATGTCAGCGGTGGGGGATTAGCAGCTGCCAGTGGGCAACAAGCTGCCTCCAAAACACGCCAGCAACTGCAACAGCAGCACCATCAACAACAGCATCAGCAACAACAGCAGCAACGCAGCCTGGACATGGAGAGCAGCACGGAGAGCGATGGCGAGGCGACAAACGGCAATGGTGGCAACACCACCACGGCCACCAATATCACCTCTGCCTCAAATGGCCCCATGACCAGGAAGGTTTGGTCCGATTGGTGCAGTTCGAAGGGCAAGAGTTCGCAGTCGGACGACGAGGAGAACAATAACTCCAACAGCAATGGCGGCAGTAATGGGGGAAGCATGGTAGGAGGAACAGTTGGCCGCCAAGCACGTGCTGCAACCCAGAAAAAGCGCAAAAAGTTGACCAGGAAAGCTGCGATAGCCAGCAAGTCGGCTGCAGCTGCCCAAAGGGAAGCGGAGGCTGTGGCTGCAGCGGCGGCGGCTGCGTTGGCCAGCAAGGATTCCAGCTCCAAGGAGGATCAACCAAGGGCTGCCAGCGCTGGACCTGGTCGCAAAGGACGCATGAAGAAGGGGGCACGCGGCAGAAAATCCTTGAAGATCGTAGGCCTAGAAGCACTGCATAAGCAAACGGTGTTGAGTACCTCTCTGGATTCCATGACCAAGAAGCTGCCAGCAGCTCCTGGAACCGTGGACCAACAGCTAACAGCTCTGCTGACGGAAAACATGGCTCATACGGAGTTGGATATTCCAGCGGCGCCACAGGACACGCCCTATGCCCTGCAGATCCTCCTGGATGTATTCCGCTCGCAGTACACGACGATGATTGAGCACATGAAGTCCAGTGCCTATGTCCCCCAGGTTCAGAAGCAGATTGCCCAAGAGCAGGAGCGTATGGCCAGGCTTAAGAACCGAGCCAGTCAGTTGGACAAGCAGATAAAGGTGCTGATTGATGATAGTGTTGCTTTACTTAAAGTGCGTATGAACGAGCTGGGCATCCATGTGAATTCGCCCAACGATCTGATCGCCCAGGCGAAGGAGATTGTAGGTAGGCATAAGGATCTGCAGCACACTGCAAGCAGGATGCGGAACGAAGTAACCTTCTACGAGGGAGAGCAGAAGATACTTCTGAACAAGCAGTTAAAGAACCTTACCGAATACCAGAAACTATGTGGAACGGTTAATGGGAAGGTGAAGCTGGAGGTGCCCCCGGAACTTTCCGAGACCACTGCCCAGGAGTTGGTGCTAAAGGAAATTGCCAATACGCTAAGCCAACGCAAGAAACTTTACGCCCAGGTGTCTACCATCGAACAGGAGACAACGGTGCTGCAGAAAACAGCGGAAGAAAGGACCACCGCAGCGACGCTTTTGGCGCAAGGAACAAATATGGTCGTGTCATCGGGATCTTCATCCTCCTCATCCTCCTCCACAACAATCACTACGAATTCAGTGACCAATAACAAATTAAACTCCGTGAAGAACTCTCGCCGCAGTCGGGAGCACCGTGCTCGGTCCCAGGAGTGGCCGGAGGTTCCCGAAGTGGGCAAGATCCAGGAGAGCAATCCCGAAGTGCTGGCACAGAAAATTGTGGAGACTTGCCGCCAAATCGAAGCTGGCAAGTTCCAAGGAGCAGCTGCGCCCCCTTACCAAGTGAATGGCAAGAACAAATCAATTTTAGAGGCACCGCCACCACCTCCACCCTCTGCTCCAGTGAGCATTAAATCCTCCCCTAGCCACCACTACAAAGATAGCACTCTGATGCCAGCACCCAAGCAACAACAGCAGCAACAGGTCACTCTTTCACAGCTGCCCAAGTGCGAGCTACCCGGGCTATCGGCCAGTCGCAAGCAGGAATCACCCAAGGTTGCCAACTTTGAGGATCGGTTGAAGAGCATCATTACCACGGCCTTAAACGAGGATCAGGAGCAGCGCAGCAAGGCAGTGGATTCATCGCCATCTCCCTCTCCTCTCCACAGTCCGGCGCCCAAGCGATCAAAGCAGCAGCAGGCTGCAGCGATGAACCCCGCGCAGTCGCTACCCAACAATCTGCATAACATCATCACCGTGTCCACGCAGGGCTTGATGCATCTGAACGCGAATACAACTATATCCCCGATAACACCACCTCTGCCAGGCCCGGGTGCAGGAGCCACCGCTTCCACAGCGCCGCCCCCGCCAGCAAATCTTCCATATGGAGCATACGGCGGGGCAGTGGGCAAGGCCACTGGATCGGGCAAGTATCAGGCAGCTAAAGAACCAAAGTATTCGCCGGTTAGACAGGCGCCCCCACCACCACCACCTCCTCCCTCCCACATGGCTGCCTTGTATGCAGCTGGCCAGCAGACAACTGCGGCGGATTTGGGCTACCAGAGGCGGCGCAGCTCCGTAAGCGCTAGTAGTTATGAACACTACATGGTGCAGCAGCAGCATCAGCTCCAGCAACAGCAGCTCATGTTGGCAGCAGCTGCTCATGCGGCACAACGTCAGCACATACGGGTAGAGGAGCAACAACAACAGCATCACCACCAGCAGCAACACCACCAGCAACATCGTCTGCCACAGCATGTACAGCATCAGCATCCACATCCGCATCCGCATCATCCCAATGAGTTCAAGGCACCGCCGGCTGATGCTCATCTCCAGCGTTCGGGCAGCCGGGAGCAATTAATAGTGGAGCCACAGCAGCAACCACTGGAGTTGCTGCCCCGAGCAAGTTCCGCCAACTCGGATTACGGCGGCTATCGCATCCGTCCGCCAAGCAGGCCAAGCTCCAACTCCTCGCAGCCGGATTACACTCAGGTCTCACCCGCAAAAATGGCTCTGCGTCGTCATCTGTCGCAGGAGAAGCTCAGCCAACACGTGACGCCTCAGGCCACGCCGCCCCTTCCAGGACACGGAGGACCTCCAACTTCAGGCAAGACTATTGGCGACTTGGTTAACGGGGAAATCGAGCGAACTCTGGAGATCTCTCATCAGAGCATCATCAATGCAGCTGTCAACATGAGCACTAGTGGCGCCAACTTCATGGAGCGAGCTTTCCTCAATGAGCGGTCCAACGATCGTCTGCTGATTAACTTGAATGCCCAGCGACCGGAGAGAGTTCATGTGCGTCCGCTCTCCGACGAATCCCAGGAAGCACATCCCACCAGCTATGCGCAAGAGAGAGGACCTAGTGTGGGTACTGGCGGAGCAGCAGTAAGTGGAAACAGCAATCTGGCCACATTGGCACAAGTGGCCTATGTCCAGAAGACTCAGGGTGGAGCTCGAGCCAACGCAGGAACAGCACCGCCAACAACCCACTCCGCTGCTGCTCGTTCTGGACGGGACTATCAGCCGGTGGCCTTGCCCCGTGCGGAGCTGAAGGGCAGCATCGAGGCCTATTTCCACGAGGAACAGCAGCAGAAACAGTCGAAGGTGGCAGGGCCGGCGGGAGCAGCCACATTGCGAGGACCGCGTCTCAATGGTGCCAATCCTCCACTAGAAGGTACATTTAAATTGAGCAAACCAATCTTTTCATTTTAAATTAAATACCAATTTCGTATTTGTCAACGAGTTTCAAATATTTTTTTAATAAAAAAGGTCGTCTTGGGTGTTAAAACGATCGAAATTGACTTTATCTTTATTTTATTTGTCTTAAGGTCTAGCTGCCTCGCTGCAGGATCATGTGCGAGCCAGAAAGTACAAGGAGGAGACTGAGGAGCGTCAACGACGCGCCGCAGCAGCCGCCTCTTCGTCTACAGCGGGAGTACCGCCTCCTGGCTTGGAACTAGCAGCGCACTATGCCCACCAGGCGCCTCCAGCCCACAGCTATCATCACCATGGAGCCAGCCTAAATGGGACACCGCACAAAGTCGAACGTAAGCATACAAAGCAGACTGAAAACATTACTTTAAAGCCGACCGTTTCTAAATCATTGATTGGTCTTTCAGTGGGAATAAAACGCAGCTCGCCGCTAGCGCCGCATCAGCAAGCGCCGCGTCCGTCGAAACTGGCCCACTATGAGCCGCCACCGACGCAGCAGCAGCAACACCATGCCCATCTCTATGCCAACGGGCAAGTGCTTCCCCCGCCTCCAGCTCACGATGCGACCACGCCTTCCCCGACGCCCTCGTCATCGTCATCGTCATGCGGACGTCGCAGCAACAGCAACAATGGCAAGTTGCTTGTGGATCCACCACTGCTGATGAGTCCCGAGATCAATTCGCTGCTTGGCGATGAGCGACCTTTGCAGCTGTCGCACCACCCGCAGCAGCAGCAAATGCTGCACCACCATCAGTCGCAGCAACAGCAGCAGCAGCAACATATGCAGCTGGCCCAGCAACAACTGAGGGTACCTCATCTTGGACACGGTCTTGGGCACGGGCACGGTCACAGCCACAGCACTACGCCAACTTTGGGCGGACAGCGCAATGCCAATGCCGCCGACGATGGTAAGCTATACGTAGACCAAGTCATAAGCTCGACCAGGGTTTCCGCACCCAAATATGCACCACAACAAGCACCACCACCAGCACACGTAGCATACCCGCTAGAACCACACATTCTTCACCAGCACAAATACCAAACTCGACTAGCCGCCCAAACGGTGGCAGAAGATCTAACCGTGAAGCGAGCAGAGCAGGAGCAGAAACCGGATTCGGAATCTGAGCCGGAAGAGGAGGCAGTGGTTTCCGAAGATGGGGGGTCCGATAACGGATCCTCATCGTCGAGTTCCAGCTCTAGCTCTGGCTCTGGCTCAGGATCTAATCAATTCTGACTCGGCATGATTTGCTTTTACACACAGCACACACATATACATCTGAATACAATTATACTTACATTTATACCATCATTTAGACATTTTACCTATTGTAAATACAACATGCAAAACGCACCATCTTAATTTCTACTTCTGAACTCATTTTGATTGTTGCGTGTTCTTCGTAGTTTGGTGTTTGTCCCTTACACTTGTAGTCCACTCTGTAATTGTTGCTTACTTTCGTTTCAGTAGCGTTGAATGTTTTATTTTACTTTATTTAATTATGATTTTCGATGCTTATTGTATTTATATTTTTGCCATCGACATTGAAATTTGTAAACTTTAGAGGGTAAAAACGAAAGGCGAACATGAAACAATTTAACCAAATCAAAACCGCAAGAATAACTTGAAATATTTAGAGCATTTTAAGTTTATCGCGAGTGAAATATATATTAAAATCATTTATATGTTTTCCGTGCCTCAACAAACATTACTGTATCATATCAAAAAGTAATCGACAAAATCAAAGCCAACAACATCCAACATGCTGAAAGTAATTTAGCTCCTATTTTATCCTCAGCGTCATGCCAAATCAGTCATCTCTACCTACTGCATATATAATATGTTACCCAGAGCCACCGCAAACACAAACACACATATTGAGCTAAAAAGCTTTTTGTAAAAACCATACATAAATATACAACACTCACACACACCCCCATAAGCAAACATTTATTTCAAAATTAACCCAAAAAGCAACTTTCTGGAATGTTATTATAATGCATAATTAATTTTCAATTTTACTAAAATTCGAACAAAAACTGCAAATGCAAATTGGTAATGCTAAGAACCAAAAACAACCAAACAAACCAACAAATTATGCCCCATCTTATCCAGCCTTCTTTATTATCCCTTCTATTATGCTCTACTCCATACAGTTAACGATTTGGCAACGCAACGTACTATAACTAATTATGATCCCAGACGTCGCCTTCGCACGACTTTGTCTGGCCCAACGAAACTATCAGCTGCCCATAGTAATCAGAATCTGAACGGATATGTTCTGGCCGATAGTAGTAGTAGTTGCCCCACAGTACCCCAATAACCAATGATCGATTGCATTGAATTGACTTGCATTGAACTGAATTGAATTGAATTGAATTGATTGACTTGCATACCTCAAAATTCCTCAAACAAACCAAACGAAAAGCAAAACCGAAAACATGTTTGTTGTTGGGCGAAAGAAACAATCTTCTAATATCCATAAATAATAAGCAGAGTACAAAAAACCTGATGAAAACAAAGATTTCAAATCAGAAACCTACAAAAGACAACTTTTAATTTTTGCGTTTAATAATTTACCTACTAAAAGTACAGAATTTATATGCCAAAAACCAAATTATAATTAAAAATCCCGAACAAAATTTATGAAATTTTAACGAGCATGAGGTAAGTTCTGTTGCGCCTAATTGGTTTCTTTCTTTAATTATGATTTATTTATTTTACTTTCATTATGTAACACCTTTGTTTTAACATATACCACACCCAACACATGAAATCACCCATTAAAACAAAAGAACACGAAAACATAACCTCCTGCACGCAAAGCGCAACGCAACTGTACCAAGAAGATTAATTAAATATGGAAAAGGCTTAAGACACCACGCGTTATCGCCAGTGTTATCGTTACTACCCTTTCCGACTGATTTCTTCCAAAAATCCACCAAAACTCACCACCTCACCCAAACCCAATCGAAATTTTCGCACTATTATCACACACTTTGATGAGATAAAACTAACGACAATGTTTGCTCACTTTCCTAGATGATGTTATTGCCGCCGATGATGAATCCCACTGGCAGCATCGGGTCAGCTCCGGCTTCGACCGCCTGGTGGCCTTCGCCAGCACTGAGTTGGATAAGACCAGGCGAAGCATTGATGGCGATACGGTTCCGGCGTCGATTAGTTGCAACACTTCGCCGGATTCGGGCATAACGCACAGCAGCAGCAACTCGGATGCGGTGCGCACGTTTTTGTCCACATCTTCCAGCTCCTCGCAACTGGAGCTACCCATTGGAAGTGGCGGCAGCAGCACCAACAGCCTGTACAACCACCATGCCCAGCACAACAACATCAGCGGCAGTGGGAACAGCAACCATCCGCAGCAGCAGCAACAGTTGCCGGCGCAGCACCAGCAGCAGCAACATCACCTGTCCGATCACCTAAGCGATAGTAGCATCAAATCCTCTGCATCCTCCTCGCTGCATGCTGGCAGCTCTGTGAAAACAGTGTCGCCGGTGGATCCCAGTGCCATCGAGTCGCCACCGCTCTCCGACGTTGGATTGCCCAGAACTCCGAGTCCCAGTGCAGCCAGTGTGGCCACTCCGCCTTTGGCCAGTGGACCACTTCTGTCCGGGGATTTGGGTGGGATACCGCTGAAGTACCAGCGTAAATCAAAGAGCAGTTCCGAGAAGCACTACAAAAAGAAGTTCTGCGAAAGGAACTGGGAGTACGACTGCGACGAGCTGCTGGCCTACTCCAACTCCAGTGCACCACCCACGGCAGCAGATGCGGCTGGAAACGGTCCGCCCAACCTGACTGCTCCCAATAATGTGGTGAGCGCGGCTGCACCCCTTCTGGGAAAGTCCGGAAAATCACCCAAGGATAAATCATCTCCGCACCATAGCGGCTTCAATCATCAGCAGCAGCAGCACCACCATAAATCCTCCAAATTCCGGCCAAAGGGCAAGGACTGGGACTGGTCATTGGACAGTCGCAGCCAAACTGGAGAGCTGCTGCCCCCCAATAACAACATGAACATTAACAACAACTCAACCACCACAACGAGTAATTAATTTAGTAAACTAATTTAGTTCAATTTGCTGAATGGAACGGAGGAATAACCAGAAAAGTATGCAATGCTTTGATGCTTTTTAGCCACATTATTTGTAAATGGATCGCAAATGGATCCTGTGAATTATAATGTATTTAATGAAGATTTTTGTAATTTTAACTAAATGAATTGTGTATGCATAGCTAACTTATTGTATAGCCCAGCTCTTAAATTGCCTTGTTTTATTTGATTATTGCTATCCACCAGCTCTTTTGTCACCAGTGTGTTTTTATTTCATTGATAATTCTAATTAGACTAGGGAAGTTTTTCGTATTTCTTTATAAGGTTGAACCGAAAACAAACCAACTGCTGATGAACAATGTTACTGACTTCTTTTTACCGACTACCAATTATTATCATTATGTATTTAATTTGATTTATTGTTTAATTACGTTTGCCCATAAGTTGAGTGTTTTGTCTTTATTATTTTGAAATAAAACTGTAAACTAATTACACCGATTTTGATTTTTTCGTTGTTCATATTTATTTGGTTTAGTTTTATCACATTTTTTCCAGAAATATATGCCGTTAGAGTTTCGCCACGTTGAATTGGGACCAACCCTTAAATTCCAAAACCGTTCCTGTTTTCAAGTCGATGAAGATGGATTGAAAGAAAGTTGCTTCCATTATTTGAATGTATATAAAAATTACAAAAGTCAATGTTGCAAATATTTCACTTTACTTTTAGAGAATTTGCAACAGTATTTCAATATTTGAGCAGCACTTTTACGGCATAGAAAATATGCTCATATATGGCACAATCGATTTCCAATTATTTATTAAATTATAACTTTATAGGCGTTTTTGAGTTGCTTATTCTTTTTTTCTGATTTCCGCTCGCATATAGGAACATAAATATTTGATGTACTGAGTGTGCTCAAATAGCAAGCAGAGGATATACAAATACTTTAACAGATTAATCGCAAAACAATAATTCTAAACTGAAGTAGAGGAAATTAGATAACGTATACAAGCAACATGCATTCGCAACCGCAACAGCAGCAAAGAAGCAGAACAACAAGTAACCTTATAAATTAATGAATTTTCCACCTCAGCGAGATAAACAACAATTTTATAAATTATATTATATTATAGCAGGCATATACAAAATATATACATATATATATATTATATACGAGCGAGCAGGGTGGGAGCTAAAAATATCAGGAAACCAATTAAACCGAAAACAAAGAAATAAATGATTTACAAGCATTTAATAAACCAGCATAAACAACAAATATTTAGCAAAACATAAAGAACTATAAAACTTATATGATTAACAGTACTTATAGCGAATAAAGGGAAATTCAAATGTGCTATTAGCGTAGTGAGTAATACGAGTAATACAAGAGTAAATAAAGTAATAACTATATTAATGAAACAAGTACATATGTACATCAAGGCGCAAAATGATTTTTATACGTAAAATATTATACTGATCCCGAGCTAAGTCGGAAACGAATGTGGCGCCATAAACAAGAGTTGTAGCAAATGAAATATTATTTTGGCGCTATTAAAAAATGTCATGTAAAATGCATAAAAAATAAAATATTATTAAATAGTTAAATTTACATGTAAAATTCATAAAACAATAAACGAAGAACGTAAACGTAAAATTTTCGGGGAGTGAAAAACGGAAAAAACATTAAATGAGCACACACGCATATTAAAATTAAAGGTATTATTATGTATATTTAACAAATATTAATTGCATATTATTATTTTAAACTTAAACGTTTAATAAAAAATATTAAAGTATAATTATCGCAAATGCTAGTTTATTTAATATGGCTTGGAATTGCAGGTCCGCTTCGAAGAATACACATTATTACCAACGAAGTGAACGAGTTCTCAAGTTGCTCGAATGCCAAAAACAAAACGAAGACGAAGATACTCAATGCTTATTCGAAATTTGGATATCAGTCAAAAAAATACGGCGTTTCTGTTCTGCATGTGAGAAATCGAAAGACAATCATCGACGATAGTATATTAAGCAGGTACAATCCATCATGCCGTGGTCATGTTTTAATGCATTTATTATGCCTGAAGTGATTTACGAAGATTGGTGTATTATGATGGATTTATTTCGGGGCTTTCTATAGTTATTATTTTTTATTGCTTGACACTGGCGAACTCAAAAATAGTTCGAACTTTTATGTCAACAACAATTTCCATAGATAATTATAGTTATCATTTAAATTTGATAAGCTGATCGAGAACTCAAATTTCCTGCCAGCGAAGAAATGAAAGATAAGAAGTGGTTCCAACATCTCTGAGCGCCAACGGACAATCTTTCCGAACCAATAAAATAGCTTATTTTTCGTTTCTGTTATCTGTATTTTATGTCATTCAAATATCTTATAAAAAAGTACAGTTTTGGTTCGTTTAACTTTAATGCATTGTTTCTGTATAATTGCATATATCTCATCTAAAGTGTTCCCGTTGACAATATGTTTAATTTATTTACCATACTTAGGGCTATTGCTATTGTTTACTCGTATATTGTGGTTTGTTGTTCAAAGCGTACTGCGGGGTAAGTGGCGCTGCTTAAAAATAAATAATCGTTAAATTTGTTTGCTTATTATTTTAGAATTTAGCTGACAATGTTTACTTTAGGCTATGGGTGCAGTTCTGGTTATTGAATCATTTCTTGTTGACTATATATGAATTACTGGTTGAATCTGGTGTTCTAACAAATTCATTTGATTCCCTATCCTTGCTTGTTGTAAATGAGTGTATATTTAATTATACTCGTATAACGTTCTATTAATCTATTTATGTGTGTATACGTAGCTAACTTTTTCTTTGTTTTCACTTTTTTGTTTTTTATGCATTTTGTATGTTTGTATGAATATTTTTTGTTATGGTATACATTTGTTTTACAATAAAGCCTGAGGCACATTTATGATTTATGTTCTTTACATTTTTTAAAAACATGTTCTGCTTTCGGGAGCGGAATCATTTGTTTTAGAACGAAAATAGGTTCGGGGCTTGTGTTTTACTTTGTTTTACAAACAAACTAACATTCATTTGCAATGTGAACTATTATTAAGAAGTGTTTAAAGCTAAACTTTGTTCAAATCGCTAGAAAGAAACTAAAAACTGTGATCAACTGGGCACAAGAAACGACATTACAACTAGAAATTCAGGCATTAGAAAACTTGAATTGCAGACATCGTACAAAATCCAATGATAGCAAAACTAAAGTAACTTACGCAGATCGGACCGACCAAGCGTGAACTAAACAAAAATAATAAACAGGTATAACAAACAAACACTTACAACTAGTAGAAGAATTAAAAGCGTTAAAAATAGACAGATAAAGATAGATAGAGTTTAACAAATAGAATATGCAGATCGGGGTTGGGTTAGTAAAATCGAAGGACCACGCCCACGAGGCCAGTAAGTGGATGAACAATTGACGAAGCTCGTTATTCTCGATACCTTACAACACCATACAAACACACTACTAAATTTGACAATTTTGAACTGAGACTGGTTCGCTGCGACCCTCTATAAAATCCGTGTGGAAATCCCTCTAGAAATATATATATATATATACTTATATATGTACAGTCGAGGGTCGCAGGAAGACAAACTCGTCGAGCGCCGAGGTTTAGTTCTATAGTTCTAGATGTACATTCGTTTACAGTTACATTTTGTAAATTTGTTTCGTTTTTAAAACCGCTGCACACGTTTCCTTCATTCAGACTTTAAGTTCGTTTCATTTGTAATGTTGTTCAACAATAAAACTATGTAACTACATACAGCAAGGGCACCCACCATCGTCATCTGTGTGTTAATGTTAATGTTTAGTAATTATAACAATATGCAAATTGCATACATACAACGAGGGCCTGAGGGTAATGTTAGACTACAGAAGTCGGCTCAAGCGTAAACCTCTAATGCTGTTGGACACTTCTTGAAACCAATTAGAGGCACAGTTAAGCTGTTGATTAGTTTAGACAGAGGGAAGATAGGATTTTGTTGGATTTTACTTAGCTAGCGAGTGGCACGAAGAGAAAGCTCATGTGTGGAGGATTTTTACATGTTCATGTTTCCAGTCCTTAAAATATATCGAAAATCAGTTGATACACGTTTTTTAAAGCCGTGTTTTTTCGCTACCAGATATTTTTTTTCATCTTTTCTTTTAGAATTAAATTGAATTTTGTATGCTAATTAGGCAATACCACCTAAAAGTGTGTTCAAAACTGAAATCCTATATACCTGGACCAAGAACATCAATAAAGAACTTAATAGATAACACATAAACAAATTTACGGGACATCAGTACGGCAGCAAGCGGAAGATGGGAGGTTCTATAATTGGTCCACATGCTGCAGCAGACAGGCCACCACATTGGCGTCCTCCTTTACAGCGGACTGGACTTCGTCCTCCTCCGCCTCATCCGGGTCCTGCCGTTCTGATATTTTGATCTCCTGAGCTTTCTCTTCATGCAAATTCTAAAAGTCGTCGAGTATGCCTGTGACACCGATCATCGCCTCGACCACATCGGCACTGCTTGGCGCACTGTCATCGATGAGGGTGTCCGCGCTCAGAGCCAATGTAGGATCCGTAGCACCACCCGCAGCAAAGGCGGATGAAGGTAAGCTATCGATGGTGTTACCATTTATAAGATAATCGCGGTGCACCTCTGCAGGACTGTAGCGGAAACGTTGTGTTGCAATCGGAGTCGTTGGCATGGACTTGGATATGTCTAGAGGATTCCGGGCACTGTAAGAATGTGCGCCATAGCCCAACTGACTACTATTGCCCGTAGATCCTTCCCAGTTAAACGTGTCCGAGATGGTGAAAAACCCATTTCCAGCTCCGGAACTGCCTCCATTACCAATTCCTAAGACACCTCCTCCACCGGCTGTTGTACCTGCACCTCCATTTAGACATGCGAGGCTATTTTGCTGCTGGTGAGGTAGCGGAGTTGAGGGCACCGATCGCGAAACTATTCCTGCAGAGCCGCCGCTGCTGTAGCCGGAAGATGAACCCGCCGAGGAGCTGCACGTTGTGGCCGTCTGTTGCGTCATGCTATTGAACTTTCTGTTGAAATTGGGCGAGAGCAGCGATCCCACGGCTACCTCCTCGTAAAGCAATCCGGCATCGTTAAGCGGCGCAGACTGCTGACTGTTGCTGTTCTCCGAGTAAAAATTTAAACTAGGTGATTGTTGGCTGCTCCTTCGTTGCAACTGAGACAACGGCACCGATTGAGAGCGTTGCATCTCTGACGTGTCCAGGTCATTTGCTCCCGTGAGCGCCAGACTCGTCTCCAGATCCATTGAGTTTTGGTTGATCAGCGGATCGGCACTGTGGCTGCTGTCCGCAAAGCTGGACGTATTCCCGCCTCCCAATGACCAGTTTCCACCTACCCATTGCTGTAGAAGCGATGGACTCGGTGGAGCAGAGGCAGACGTGCTTGTCGGATAGCTGTACACATAGCCTCGACCCTTGCG